ACTATTCCGTATATACGTACGTATACTGGAAAGTAAAAATGAATTTTCGTAGATTTAATAGATTAAAGTACTGTAGCGGGCGGCAAGCGACATCACTGCAAGAGAAAAGAAACGACGATTCGCTTAGCCGTCTTGTCTCTGCTGTGGCGCGACAGCCGGTTTGAATTTCGCGCACGGAAGTAACAATTCCAGAAAATTTTCTTGCGGAAAAAGTGGATCGCGATATAAATATATAGGAGTCATAATGCCCCCTTTTAAAATAATTCGGAGCGAAGGGCGCTTTTGGCGCAAATCGTCATGCGCAGCTGCGCGCGCCGCCACCCAAGGATTCCCCGGCGCTCGCCGCCTCCGAAAGCGCCCCTGCGATCTCTGTGTTGGGCAGTAGGGGATTGACGGCCAGAACAGACGTGCTAAGAGACTCCGGGGCAGCTTCCTAGCTAATCCCTAAGGTGCAATAAACCATGAAGCTTCGTAGAAGATACGCAGAAGTGTGTCTAGTAAGCACTAGAGGGAGAACACTAAACAACAATCAAATGTTAAGAAGTGAAGGTTGCAAAAATATGCGGTCCCCTTACCCCAATCACAGAGCTCTGGTGATAGAATGTTGAGGAAACTTTTGAACAAGCCAAAGCCAAGCCCTCTCGCATCTTGCGAAAGAGCTGGGGACGGGAATCGGGTGAGCTGAGGGCGCTAAAAGACCAAATTATTATTAGGGAAGAATCTCAACAGCGATCGGTCGGCTCTTAGAGAGACCATAGTTCTTGGTTTAACGGCGACAGCAGCCATTCAACGGACGATCCCTGTTTTTCACACGATCCTACCAGCCCTCACTCAGCATCGGAATTCATTCCGGATGCCGGGCTGGGATAATAGGATCAACACCCTGAAATTATCCGTGAGGGTGTGCAGCCCAGGCGACATGTGACAACCTGCGACCCGTTCATCAAAACCGACTCTTCGTTTGGCGGGCGGCCGTGGATGCCCCGCCCACCGATGTTGGCGAGCGTTTCAACGGGTCCTCCGCTGCAGACGACCGGTCTTGGACGACATCACAGTCATCACCATCCTGTAAGAGAATTCACGCCCATAATTGTTATCAGCCAGAGGAATGCTCAATAGATAATTGTATGTGATAGACAATTTATCCATAATAAACGTGTCCGCGCCATTTTGTCGGGTGGTAACACAGAAATATACCCTGCGAGATACTTGTAGTCAGAAAGCCAAATGTAATCCTTCGACCCAGGGCCTGAGATGCTTAAAGTCGGTGACAGGATAGCAGGTGAGGCACGCGCTTGGCGCCCTTTAAATAAACTCAGCGTGTGCACTCCGCTGTCTGAAAGAGGCAGTTTCGCCTTAAGTGTGACTTTAAATCCCTCCTTATAATAGTGCAACCCCCAGGTTACACTGAAATTGATGTTTGAAACACACTTTGAATAAAGGTTTTTTTCAGTTTAATACACATGTTCTTGCAACAATTAACAAAATTGCCTTAAAAACTACATTTGAAGTAATTACAAAATTATCCTTCGCGGTTATCTTTTTGCTTTCTTTGATAGTCACAAAAATAATACAAAAGCCTTTCTCTCGAGAAAGCTACGCAGAGTTGTCCATAAGAAAATACAGGATTGGGAAAGCACAACTCTACTCTTTGGAATATTATTTAACTTTATAAACGAAATCAGGGTACACCCGAGCAATTCAATCGCCTAGAATATCAAGGAATTAGTTTTTTCTACTCCCATTGTATAATTCTGTCATTTGATGGCGGCAACCCGTTACATAATGATACTTAATACGATACAGATTTCATTATGATACAGTTTGACCAATCACAGAGAAGTTTACAAACCAAGTATTGACACTTAATCATTGAGAATCGTGTTTCTATAATGTTTCGTTTCATTGTGTACATTAAAAAAGCATTTAATATTATATTATGCTTTTCCGTTTTAATTTCTTTTATTATTAGTAATGTTTTCAATGTTTTATGTGGAATGTTATTTAAAATAGATTGGATCGTTATTTCACTTTCATTCCATTTGACCAGCGCAATGGTAAATCAAAACAACCTGCCGCAGGGGAGGGTCCGCTAGGTAGCCTTGGCTGAATTCTGCATGTCAACTGCCACGAAATGATTAAATGCAAAAGTTTAACTTACAAAAGTGGTCGTAAGTTGTAGAAAAAGTACTGTTTGAAACTCGATGTAATGGATATAATACACTCGTGTAAAGTTTACGATACTCGCTTTTCGTCGCTCGAAACGTAATATCACACTCATGTATTAATACCCAACATTACATCATCGTTTTATAATGTACTACAATTTCACATTCAGTTCCAGATTTTGCACGTCTCTGAATAGGTGGAGTGGTGTCAAAAAGCGCACGAGCAGTGATATGTAATAGAATGTCTAAAAAGCTCTCGTCCTATAGATTGCGGTGCAAGGGACGTTTCATTGTGGCCTTCGGCATCAAATTTTCTTTTTTTGAGAAAAACAAGAAAATGTCATATCATTTGCTTAAAAAACTCTGCTGCTAAATGTTACGCTATGAAAAGCTATGAAATCTTAGGCGCCCTCTACGGAAGAACAAAAAAATATAAATAATCGTCATGTTGTTATTGCTGGAGTCTTAAATCTCCCAGACGCAAATTGGAAGGGGATTGTTTGCGAAGGGAAAGTGTAACAACTAGTCAACCGACTTGTCTGGGACAGCGGATTAGAGCAGGTAGTAGACAGGCCGACACGGCCAGATGCGATTCTGGATATTTGCCTAATTAGACCGAAAGATTTATTCTTCTCGAGCGACGTTCTAGAAGGTATAAGTGACCATAAAGCCGTTTTAGTCGATTTACAGTTAAGTATTTAAAAAAAACATTAACACCGGTATTGTAGTGAAGGAATACAAGAAAGCAAATGTACAAGAGTTTCAAAATTACTTAAGAGAACGATATGGAGAGAACGTTTCTTCCAATAGGAGGAGGAATCGATGAAATATGGGGAGAACGTAAAAATATTTTAGTAAATACTGAGCAGGCTTTTGTACCAAGTAAATTGTTAAATGTTAACAGCGATCCGGATTATTATAATACAAAGATTAGGCGATTGAAAAGAAAACCCAGAGAAGCATTTAACAACAGACACCGTAGTGAAAATCATATGGCCTTATTTCGAAATTATATAAAGCATTAAGGAAGGAAAAGAAAATGGCAGAGAAACTTCATTTAAAACATATTCTTGATGCGGAGGGCAGTAATAATTGGTCGGTATTTTTTAAATACGTTCGTAGAAGGAAAGGAAGTAAAGACGAGATTCCAGTTGTTCGTGTTAATAATTCGCCAATAACGGACCACAGGGAAAAAGCGCAGGCTTTTAACTCATATTTCAGTTCGGTTTTCAAGCAGAAATCTAACAGTACTCAGATACCAACGCTGGTAGATAAAAGTAGTTTTCATATTGATGTAAATACTTTGCGGAAAAGAATAAAATTAATGAAGAGAGGAAAATCACGAGATACTGATAGTATTTCCACGGGCATCATTAAATTAGGTGGAGATGCTATTCTACCTTATTTAATTAGGTTATTTAATGTATCAATAAACAACGCTTGCGTACCGAAAGATTGGAAGCTGGCTCTCGTAGTACCTATTTTTAAAAGTGGCGACAAGACAATAATTAGTAACTATATGCCGGTAAGCCTTACATCAGTCGTATGTAAACTTATGGAACATCTAATTTCAAGCTATATCAGGAAAGAATGGGAGGGCAGGGAGTGTCTTTATCAGGGTCAGCACGGTTTCAGAAATGGTTTCTCATGCGAAAGTCAGCTAGTCTCACTTCTACAGGACCTAGCCGACGTAGTTGATGAAGGGAAAAGGGTCGACGCGATAGTAATATATTTTTCCAAAGCGTTTGATATTGTTCCACATGATCGTCTTATAAATAAATTAATAGATTCGGGAATAGACACTAGTGGTAGCGTGGATAAACGAACTACTCCGAAACAGGAAACAGAAAGTTCGAATCGCTAGTTACTTATCAACCACGAGAATCGTCACGTCAGGAATTCCACAAGGAAGTGTCATCGGACCACTCATGTTTCTTGCCTTCGGAAATGAATTGCCGACAAATTTAGCTTTAAGTGTATAACTGCAGATGACTGCGTAATTTATAGGATTATCAACTCGGAGAAGGCCGAGGATACTCTGCAGTGAGACTTAGACAAATTACACATCTCGGCAGAAACAAACGGGAGAAACAAATGGGAGAAAGCTATATGAGGAACTTTAAAGAAAAGAGACAAAAACAATATACGCCAATGAATACGTAAAGCCTTTGTAGAATGTGATGTTAAGAATATAAAACAACTTCTACTCTTGAATAAACTCCTGTTACTATTTTAAAAGTTATTTACTTTTCATTTTTATTGAATATTTATCATATTGTTTCATATCTTATTAGATCAAATTGTGACTAAACGGTGGTGATGGAAACGAACAGAGTTCAAATGCGGACTCAATAGACAAAAAATATAAAAATCAGCTATCAAGATTTTAAAAAGGGTTTTTGAAATCCTTTTTTTGTTAGCTTGAGTATTCGCCAAATATACGATACGTTTTAATGATTTTTCTGCAGTCAAATCATAAAAAATGTGGACCCACTCCCTATTTTACGGGCAATATCAAAGAATTAGACGCAATACATTTATCACCAATTTCGTGGAATGTAGGATGGATTGCAAATGGATAATTCTAAAACTATCATTACTGGAAAATTGGGCAAAGGAAGAAATATTTGAAAATTCCTTTATTTTCTATGCAAAATACAAGGCACAATGGAAGAATAGTAAATAAAAATACAGTATTAATCATGAATTCTTCACTTCTTCCGGTGTAGGGTTCGTTGCTTTTCAGCAAATTCGACGATTTTCTCTTCTACAGCAAGGCCTTTGCGTTTCCTCACAGCATCCATGTACTTCCTGGCACGATTTGCAGAATCAGCCTTCTCTCCGTAATGCAAATACTCCTCTTCTGTAGACGGAGTCCAAAATGGATCAATTTCTATTACCTAAAACAAAACACAAAATACATTTGCACTCCGTGTTCATGAAAACATATTTGTTAGAGGCAAGCGGGAAAGTGCAGTAGAAAGATTTCCGATCGCTCTCTCTCTCTCGCCCTCTCTCCCGCGCGCTCTCTCTCTCCCGCTCTCTCTCGCTCTCGCTCACTCTCTCTCGCTCGCTCTCACTCGCTCTCTCTCTCGCTCGCTCTCTCTCTCGCTCGCTCTCTCTCTCGCTCTCTCTCTCTCTCGCTCGCTCTCTCTCTCGCTCGCTCTCTCTCGCTCGCTCGCTCTCTCGCTCTCTCTCTCTCTCTCTCGCTCGCTCTCTCTCTCTCGCTTTAGTTCTCTCGCTTGGTATCTTTAACCCATTTCCCCTCCCGCGAGGTAAGACTGGCCTATCAGGAGCGGCAACCATCTTACATGCCGTGGTACCCTCACTTTACCACCAAAGTAGCCAACGGGTTCGAAAACTTTCGAAAATACTATACAGCATCAATTCGATTAAACCATTAACAAATTCGAAATATAAAAAAAGTGTAAAAAATAAGACTATGAAAATGAGGAAATTGAATAAGGTATTAAAATTATAGTAAGTAGCTGTACCCTATGATACCGTCGCAAAAAGTATTAATTGTGGAAAAGCTACAACAGGTAAGCATAATATAAGACTGTAGGAAAAATTGAACTCCCTTCACACAAAACTGTTTGATTTCGTTCATTATTTAATCTCTAAGACGGGCGCAGACTGTAATTTTTTCGCATACTGTCTTTATTGAAAATACATCAAATACAAAAGTCTCGAAATGAAGGAGATTCACTAGTTGTCGAACAATACAATCACTATTCGCTGTGAACTCAGAGTTAAACATCTTTCTGAAAATGTAAATGGATTTTTTTTGATGATCTGGACATGAATGTTGTATTGGACTATACCTGCAAAACCTGCCATTCACCTTAACTTAAAACTATAATGCATCGCATACAATAGTAATCACTGAAAGTGTTTGCATTTGGGATGTAATTTAAACGATTCCATTTCAGAGACATTTCATTTATATGCTCACATTAATCTTCCTTGAGCCTTAAGAGGAAGCCTTGAATCTTCCTGAATTAATCTTCATAGAAGGGAGGCGTCGCAACCGAGAAGTCAGTCTGCTCTAAAGAAGAGTGATAGTGTCGAGATGTGAGTGTAGTGGGTTAAACTACAGTGTTGACGATCTGTGCGACGAAATTGACATTTCTCTGGTCGACTAAGGGACTACGCTGTTTATCGGACATTATTAGGTATACGGCTTTTCTTTGGTACATGGCAAATTCATGGAAAATTGGCAAACTTTTGCTGGTACGATACTCAATTGTGTCTGATACAAATAAAATTGTTATTATGCCGAATTGTTAAAGTTCTAAATTGATCAAAACACATTTGATTGATGTATGGGAACCAGCACAACGAAAGGACGTAATGAACAAATTAGATAGATAAACGTTTATTCCATTAGTCCAAAGATACTTTTAAAAATTTAGTTTTTAAACTATAAAACAGGTTAATAATAGCCAGCGATAACAAATCTAAGTTCGACTACCTTTCATTTTCAGTTAAAATCGCGAAATTTCGTTGAGTGGAAAGCTCACATTTATTTCTAAATGAAAATTCTCAGCGTTTTAAATATGCAGATAACAAGTAAACTAGAGTATCAAATGACATGTTCTGTAAATATTGCCCCCCACATTTTTTAGACTGTTGCAATTTTTAAGAAAATGCGGGTGCAAATTGATTTCGAATCTGGGATAATACTAGGGGGGATGTTGGCACGGCAAAACATATTGTTTACAAATTGTAGTCAGACCCCAGTGGCTGTATTTTAAAATGTTGGCGTAGCGCGGTGAACTTCTCAAGAATTTTTCGTGCACGTGCATCTAGTAGGTTCGTCAGCGTCTCGAGAAGTCCTGAGCTGTTTGTAGTGCGCTTGCAAACAACATTTTGTAGTGCGATTATGAAACTGTACTCGTAAAAGTGTTGTTAGAGTTGCTGCTACTTCTATGGTCATGTATACTATTGTGAATAATTCGAGTATGCCAAAATTGAAGAATTAATTAAAGTTTAATTGAGTTAGTGAACGTGCGAGTAATACATTCATAGGACTCGCAGTTCATTAAATAGTTTTCACATATCTCTAATTTTATTGTAAGAAAAATATTGCTGGTCGTTTGAAAAATGTATGACAAGATTCAGTCTAGTATTAATATTCTCGGTTGTATTTGATGAATTATCATTGCAAAGTCATGCAAATAGAACCCCAAATCGCCACCGATCGATACAACTTTAATAAACAGATTGTTGTTCAATATTTAACAATAAGATAAGATTTACTACGTGTTTCTTAAATGTTAGAAAGAATACATAATACGTTGTCATTGTAACAGAGCGGTACACGTTTGGCAAGCGATGGCTGAAATAATATAATTTGCACATAATTACAAGATATACACGTTACCGTAAAAACACGAGAAAGTCTGAAAATTACTTCAACACTATTACGAATGTTATTCGGGATATTTTATTGACAGAAAATGTTGCTCTGAATGTGTTGCTTATGTAAAAGTTGCACCATCTTCATTACGTTTCAACGAATAATAAATAACATATCAATTGATAAACCTTACTGATTATAATTTACAAGTACGTTTATTTTTTTACGGATTTTTAATTTACAAACAGTTTACTAGGCCTATTCCTTGAAAAGCAAATAACTGTGTTTCATAGCCGTATGAAGAAGGGTCTAAGTGGAGATAGAGGAGGGCGGGAGCTGGGTCGCAGAGCCCCACCCGCCCCGGCATCGTAGCACTAGCTGCTGTCAAGTGTTGGCGGAGAAAGGATTGACACCATTATTGCCAACAAAAATTTGTATTGGAGATGGCCGGCTTTGCCATACTATTTAGCAGCTTAAGACAATCGTACCTAACTTTAACAACGCATGCAAGTTTTATCACCATCGTGATTTTATTAGCAAAATGGATAGCTCATACACTGGCGGGGTGTTGGCATTTGAATGTCAACGTCTAAGCGACATCTTTTCTAATAAAGGTTTGTAAAGATGTCACTCCAGTACGCCTTGCAACTGAATCATTTAGAAACCAACGAATTCTGCACTAATAGAAACATCGATACCAAAGCAAAGTGTCAGTGATCACAAATGTCTACAAAATTATATAAATAAGAAAACATTTTTCAACTGAAATGTATGATACAACTCTACGTAATAAACCCTTTCTTACGATCTCGTCGGCAAGGACCGAAGTGAGACATATCCAAATCATTCGAATATTAACAAGTTACAAAATTTGAATACATATCTATTGATTCGACAACGGTCTCATTTCAAGAATAATTTCAATTCATGAACCTCAACTCTGTGAACGAAAATAGAACAACCACCTAATGATCACTAAGCTCGTGAAAAACTGTACAGTGTTTTGGTCAGAAATCCGATGTATGAACAGTCGTGACTCAATCATTCGCTGTGTTATTGACTTTTGCTATCACGGCGAGCAAAATTTGCCTTCGTCGCGCTATTAGAAAAAAGAAATAGATTTTAGAGCTTCATTTACTTGTATTATAATGCCAAAGCCAAGTATGATTTTTTTTCTGACGGGAATATTATGTCGATATTGCGGCATTAAATTTCATCTGTCAATTTGAAACATCCGAAGTCTTAAAAAAAGTAAAAAGAAGTACTTTTAGTTACAATGTTGCTGTAAATGATATGCAGAGCACAAATTAATGAACACCATTAACTTAAAAATTGACATCTTGCAAATAAAACTACAAAAAAAATAGTTCATCTTTCTTTTTTCATAAAACGAAACACGGTGTTCTTAGAATGTGAGTGACATTGAATTTAAAAACATAATTTTGATCTGATTCCATTATTACAGTCGAGAATATAAGGTCTGAATAAACGCTTAAAGGAATAATTTCAGTAAACATGTCCCTGCAAAGGACAAATATTTAAACTCTACCTCGTACATTAACCTCCAAAATATATACATTGTAAACTTTTGTAAAAAATAAAAAGTTTCGCATCGACATTACACGGCATCGTCTTCCTGTTCGCAAAACGCGAAGAGTCGATTCAGGCCCTGGTTCAAGCGCTCTTAGCAGGAAAAGAGAAACCCTTCACACACGTTGCGTCCGGAGAAAAAAAGGTCGCAGCACCGTTCGCACGCGGCGCCAACAGCGAAAGCCTTTCATTGGCGAAGTTCCTGCGCGTTGGTCTACTGCCCCTGGCGACGCCGAATCACACGCTAGCATCAAGCCAGGCGAAAAGGGCGTAGGAGTGGCGAGAACGATGCAGGGAAGTAGTAGTTGGAGTAAAGACGTTGGTGTTTTTTATCACAATGTTATTAAAACATCTGAGAGAAGTAGGATTTATGAGAGAAGAACTCGTTTTTCGCCGAGGTTTGTATTTTCACACCTTCATTTTTTCAGTCAAAATAAATTATTATTTAAATAATCAATTTCATAATTTAATGTACTAATAATTAACTAATTAATAATTAAATAAATAAATGAAAATAGTTTCCATTTTTTGCGTAGAGAAACACTTAAAAATTAATTAATGCAAAGCAAAAAGTTGTCACTGTCACTGTCAAATCACTGTCAGCTAGGGCCGGCAACTAAAATTTGTTGACATATCAAGTAAATAGAAATATCAAAACGAGAAAATATATTGCTTGTGCACTAAGTTTCAGAGAATGTATTCAACTCAATCGTGACAAAATTCAAATACGCGCCCTTCAGTTTCTGATAGGAGACTCTTCCTAAGATCAGAACATTTTTGTGGTACTTTATGTTACGTTATAATATATATATATAACTCTCATAATGTAAATCAGGGCCCAGCTGACACTTCGCATAATATTCTACTTGTTGCGTATGATGATGTGTCAAAGCCTGGCATATTGTGGCACCGTAACTTCATGACGAATCTTATCGCAAACAACTTTCG